TTGTCTAGTTTTACTTCTACATGAGCAGAAGTCTGTTTATTTAGTGATTCACTCAGAGAACCATGGTTATATTGTGTAACTGTAACATTCTCTCCAGACCCTGAGTGGATAGATGATATTATTTTCGCCAGTGGGATCACATTTTCAAACACTTCAAACACAAATAATTCATCTTGGCCCTGCACACATCGTCTACCTCTGCTTTTTTTTTTTTTTTTTTTTTTATCTTTAAATCATGTATGGCGGACAATTACTTCAAATTGAATTTACTTTAGATCAAAGGTTTGGATCAATAAAAATAATACCACTGAATGTTGAAACACAGATTTTTGGAATTTTTGTGTCAAACTTGTTTTTTACCAGCCTGGCTAATGGCAGATTGGTACTATTTAGCAAATATAAATAAACATCTTTCATTGGAAAATATACGCTTTTAACTCCTGACACAATTATGTGTCCATATCTGATCCTGTCAGATCTCAGCTGCTAAGCAGGTTGGGCCTGGGTAGTACTTGGATGGGAGACTGCTAGGAATTCCAGGTGCCACAGTGGGGTGCCAGTGGCAAAAAACTGTCGTTGTGTCCTTAGGCAAGACACTTCACCCACATTGCCTAGTAAGAAAGTGGTGAGTGTGTGAGTGATGGTGGTGGTCGGAGGGGCCGATGGCGCAGATTGGCAGCCTTCACTTCCATCAGTCTGCCCCAGGGCAGCTGTGGCTACAGTAGTAGCTTACTACCACTGAGTGTGGAGTGACTGAATAATGAACTGTAAAGCGCTTTCTGTATCTTGAAAGGCGCTATATAAATGCTATCAATCAATCAATCAATTATGATAGGAAAAAAAAGGCAAGAATCACAGCCTGAGTCAGTCTTCCTCTGATGTTTAATCTAGTAGTGGACCTGCACTGTTGATCTAGTCCCCAAAAGCATCAATAAAAGCAGATTTTCTATGTATTTTAACTGAAAACTGCTTCACTGCGCAATCCTCTGGTGGGGGAAAAATATGCTTATTTAGGATTGATGAACGACTTCTGCACACTCCAGTCTGCTAAACTTGGTGCTTAAATGAAATGAGCCCGGTGACTTCCTGTGCAGGACACTTCACTTGTACCAAAAGTTGTGTGTGCTCATACAGATCTGCAGTACAAGCAAGATAGATTCTTGTGAATGTGAAAGCTCAAACTTTGCAACAGTTCAACTTGCAGCACAAGTTTAGGCCTTTACTTAGAAAATACTGACAGTTTTACCAAAATCAGTCCATTACGTTTTATCCCCAGGCAAAATAAATATACAAAGTTGGAAAATAATTTATATTTTACGGTTTTGTTTTTTTGTCCTTGAGATTCCTCCGTTTGACGTGATGCAAACTGACTTCCATAGCTGAACACATAAATCCACTGCAACCACAAGTCTTTGAAATGAGTGTAAAAGTGTGCACATCCACGCTCCAGTACACTCCTCATGTGCACCGTGGGAGGGGCGTCATGGCCTCTGGTTCTGTCCCAACACTGAGAGCTGTAAAGGGTCACAAAGTTAAGCATCTGCCCCCTGGAGGCCGGTGGAGGTAATTTGTGTGGCAAATACTTTGTACAAAGGAGGTGAGAGGAATACATTCTAAAAAGAGTTCAAACAAGTGTTGAAGCACCGAGTCCAACCGACAGACCAATGAGTGGGAGAATATGTGTGGATTCTTTTAGCACAGTGGAGACCATACCTGTTTCATATGGGAAATTTAAATATTTTTGGTAATTTTCTTGTAAATTGTGGTCCAGAGTCAATGCTGCAACTGTTGTATGTAATTTTTTGGATTAGCCCTCTGTATCAACACTGTGTAAAAATGACCTGAGTTATATTGCTTTCTCGAAGTGTTAGAATACTGTTACCTCCTCAAAAACATACCTGGACTTGTGTTTTGTTTCCTTCACATGTTTGAGTAACCTTGCAAAGCTCTCCAAAGCTCAAAATGCTCTTTTCCACCTTGTGATGTCATGTAGTTAACAGCAACCTTTTACTTTGTTGTTGTTGTTCAGTAGAGATTGACAATTCCAGGGGTGAAATCATCCAAATGTTTCTAGTGAAGGTGTGTAGAGTTTAAAACACAGCGGAGCACTTCCTGTATTAAGACATGACATCACAAGGTGGACCAGCGATTGAAAGAAGAACTGAATATCCTAGGGTTTGTGTGTTAAGCATGTGTGAATGAAACAAAACACAAACTCCAGGTCTGTTTGTGATGAGGAAACAACATTAAAACATATAGAGCTGAAAATGTAATATGTAACATGGGCCCTTTATACTGGAGTTTACATTGTTGTTTTTCCATTATCATTTATGTAAACCAGGGGTGTCAAACTCAAATTGACAGGGGGCTGAAATTAAAAACTGGGACTAAATCGTGGGCCAAACTAAATATTTATTGAGTCTTCTTTAGAAGTATGTAATATTAAATAATTTCTTATTTAAATAAATATTTAATATTAGTTTAGCTTAAATATTGAATCCAGAACAAGCATAATATAAAATAATAATCACATTTTAAATAATGTCTCTATAGTCTATGTGTAGGGACCAGTTTTAATACATGTTTGATATGATCTCGTGGGTCAAATTTGGCCCCTGGCCTGAGTTTGACGTGTCTGATGTATAGAGATGTAGAAGGTTAAAAGAGGGAACATTATACATTTATGGGGTGTTAATTGCAAACATATAGTATATTTATGTCTCTCTGTTACCTTCGCTCTGAGTTCTCCCTCCCTTTGTTCTCCAAACACAATCACTGTGCATCCTCCTCATGAAACGGCTGCACATCGCATCAGGTTTGTGAGGATGCTGTGAACACTTTTGTCCCATGTTTTTGTATAATTATGAATTAAGTAGGGTTGTTGGTCAAGTCTTGAATAGGCCTGAGAGAGATCGCTAGATTACTCAGACATGCATGGTAACATCTAAAGCCTCTTTATTTATGTTTTTTTTTTGTTGAGGGAACAACAGCAAAGTTCAATTTTTAAGGCAAAAAAGGATTAACATTAAAGATGAAATAAGAAAAATCAATCAAAAAGACTCCTAAATTATAATTTCAAATTTTCTTCCATTAATTTGTCTTTGATGATTGTTGCATGTGTGATTCTTGAGTTCAAATGACTAAAAAAGAGCTAATTAGATCTTTCTAAGCCTAAAAGCCCTCATCACTCGTAGAACATGTGGGTTAAGTTTAAAACCACAAACATGGTTTGAAATGGACCTCCTTCTGATGGAGTAACAGGCACTCGCTCTGACTGCAGGTGTAGCGCATGACTTCAAACATATGGTCTGCCAGTTGCCATGGTCGCAGCTTCAACACAAGTCTAAACATAAGACACTGCGCTCCTGTGGTGTGGATGTGTTTAAGTCCCTGCTCTCACCCACAGCGAGGAGAGGAGCCCATAAGCCCACCACTGAGCTCGCTGTGTGCTCGCTGTGTGCTCGCTGTGTGCCAACTCTTAGAAGAGGATTTGTTTATTCATTAAAGTTCTTATATTACTCAGAATGGATTCTTGTGAGCTTTAAACCATGTTAGAATGTTGTTACCTCATCTAAATCCCACCTGGAGTTGTGTTTTGTTTCATTCAAATGTTTAAGTGATCCTTTTATTACTGGTCTGTCTATATCTCCAAAGCTCCAAATGCTCTGTTCCACCTTGTGATGTCATGAAGTAGTTTTCAAGTGAACAGCTCCTTTACATTTAGTCCAGTAGAGATTGGCAATTTCAGAGCTGAAATCATCTACCGCTGAAGCAATCGACTTTTAAAATTTTATTCAGCAAAACCTTTTCATGTACTATTGTATGTATTATATATTTGTTTTATTGTGGTATTTCTTGTTGAAAAGTACTTTGGTCCTAGCCTGATTCATCAGCTGGTTTCACTTCAAGTGTCTGACCTAGCAGCATTAGGATTTGTTCCCTCAACGGCACTTTTTAAAATTTTACCAATTGCTGCTATTTGGTTGTGACATATGTAATGCACCGCTAACAGGGCTAACTGGTATATTAAGCTTTTCCCAAATCCCGTAGGAAGAAGGACAATAACGTCTTTCCCCTTGATAAAATTCAAAGAACATTCTCTTTATTCCGGCTTTAAATCCTCGATCTCGGGAATCGTTGCCAACACAGAATGTATGGCTTTTTACTGATTGGCTGGTACCTGATCTCGCACTTCCAGGATTTTTGCGAAGTGTCTAGTGTATTCTGATTCCTGACCTAGTCGCTGGAGAGAAATGAAATGGAGCGGAGGCACTAGGTGGCGTCAGCCTGGCTACTTTGGTCCAACTTGTTATGGTTGTTTTAAATGTGCTATACTGTATAAATAAAATGACTTGACTTGACAAATGATTCTAGTGAAGGTGTACGGAGTTCAAAAACACATTTGGACACGTCCTGTATTACCACATGACATCATAAGGGGGAGTGTTTTCCGTGTTTTTTCGAGCAAAAAACCTTGGCATAAATATACAGAATTTGTGTGTTAATTAAACATGTACGAATGAAACAAAACACAACTCCAGGTCTCGATACATCAGATAAAGAAAAGTGGTAGAGCGCTTCACTGGTTCATAAAAGAGTTAAAAATTGCAGTAAAGGTGCTCTACGAGGGTTAAACTAGTCGTCTTTAAACACAAAGTTGCCCTTACTGGAAAATGTAAAAGTGAGCAAGGTACAAACCCGAGGCACTCCGACTGAATATATTAAAACTCACTTTTTTTAACTTTTGCCCTGACGAAGACCATCTTGCTGGTCGAAATGCGTTGGCGTCCCCTCATGCAATAAAGGACTTTTAATATATTCAGTCAGAGTGCCTCAGGTTTGTACCTTGCCCACTTTTACATTTTTCAGTAAGGGCAACTTTCTATTTAAAGACAACTCCAGGTCCGTTTGTGATGAGGAAACAACATTATAACCTAGATCAGAAAATAGTGTAGTATGGGCCCTTTAAAGTCTGCATGCTTTTCGTGTAAACATTCAGTCCGTTTGGCGTTATTCCCTGTAGTGGGCCACCAGGATGACTCTGGGTTTGGAGGGGCTGTGCGAGGGTGGGGCGGACTTGTCTGCAGAGGGGCTGGGGCTGTGGTGGTTGTTCTGATGGTTCTGGAGTTTTTTGCCATTGTCCGACGTCTCTTTACGGATGGACAGCGACAGGGCGGGGTGCTCCCTCTCCTGGCGGAAGGTGCGTAGCGTCCTGGTGGCCCTGGAGAAGGACTTGAGTGTGGAGTTGCTTGAAAGAGGGGAGCAGCTGATGAAGGCTCGGAGGCATCTGTTGAACTGGACACAAAAATGGTGTTAGTGAAGTACTGAAGTAAGGTAATTGATAATGCATTAGTAGTAGAGATTTGAGGTGTAAGAAACATCTGATTCAGTTTTACCTTGCAATACTCAATTGCCAGATTCTCACATTGATTCAAATAGATTTTTTAAAGTCTTGTTTTTCGTAAAATATAAGTTCCTTTTTTTTTTTATGTTTTGCTTTTGTGAGGGTGTACACGTATCCAGGCTGGTGCCACCTAGTGCCTCCGCTCAATTTAATTTCTCTCCAGCACCTAGGATCAGAATCAGAATACACTAGACGGTTTGCAAGGACCCTGGAAGTTGTAGACGGCGCACCGGCCAATCAGTGAAGAGCTGAACCAACCCGAGTAGCAATAGCAGACTGCATATGCTATCCTCCTTTGGACTTCCTTTGTCAAATACAAATTTCACATTTTTTATTGCACCTTTAGTTCAAGTTCATAAAAGTACTGCACATCGTATCCAGTTTGTCAAGTTGTAGTGTACAGTTTTGTATCATGTTTTTGTATATTTATGGAGAATTGTCGTGTGAGAACATGGATGACCTAGGCTTGTGGGCGGAGCATTGGACAGACTCATACTGCTGATCGTAAGGTGAGTTCGAATAGTGTTCGTGAGAGATCGCTAAATTACTCAAACATGCATGGATGACATATAAACCTCTTCAGGGATGTTTTTGATGAGAGAACAATGTTATAACTAGCTTGATTCATCAGCCGGTTTCATTTCGTGAAAACCATCTGACCTCGGAGCATTAGGATTCGTTTACTCAACGGTATGCGGGTACTTTTTTTACTTAACCGCTGTTATTTGGTCGTGACCTATGTAATGCACCAAATCCTATAGGAAGAAGACCAATCATTCTCTTTGGCTTTAAATCCTCGATTCTGGGAATCGTTGCCAAACAAAAATGTATGCCTTCGTCTACATCCATCTCGACCGCTTTGTTTACTGTTGTGCTGCACCCCAAAAAGGGACCCAGACAGATGCTTGAGTTTGACGTCATGGCTTCACAGCTCTTCGCTGATTGGCCGGTGCGCGGTCTACAACTTCGGGGGTTCTTGCAAACCATCTAGTGTATTCTGATTCCTGACCTAGTCACTGGAGAGAAATGAAATTGAGCGGAGGTTCTAGGTGGCACCAGCCTGGCTACATTATAACATGGTAGAAAGCCCCCCCAAAAATCAATTTTGCAGAATACCCCCTCTTTAATGCAATAAATGGCAACATTCATAATAATGATGGAAATTTCAGCTCTTTCATGGGATCCAAATTTTTATATTAGTTCATTTCAAAGAGCCGTTCAAAAGCTCTGTCACTCTTTCACTATTTATTCATATGACAGAAGCAAATAATCACAGAGAGAACTCACCAAGGCTCAGATCTGTTTAAAATGGTTCCAACTGAGAGTGAGAGTGTGTTTACCCTTTGAAATTATGCACGGTCTAAATAAAACGTTGCACTACAATAATAATAGGCAGAAAATGAACTATTATTACAATGCCAAGTATGTTTTTTTGTACACAATGCTCTCACTCGTGTAGCCTTCTCTGGTTTTGTGCTGATTCTTCTGTTGGTTCAGGGTTAATCACTGTAAAAATGAATAAAAACTAGAAAGATTTGTTTGTTTAAAAAACAAGATTCAGTTCCTACCATTCACGATAAAGGTGCACTGCGTAACATTTTTACTGGAAGGTCCACTACCTGCTTGTCTCCATGGAAATGTTATTGTGTTGTCTAGAATGTTCCACAGTATAGATTATCTATCACAACGAAGACAAGTAGGCTACAGCATTATGCCTCATTACAATTCAGATCTGTGGCGAGTCATCCCTATTCACAGAAGGAATGTATTTACGAGTCCCATGTAGAGTTCCCCCTCCCCCTTCTAAACTTTCGATTGCCACTGCTGCTTGATTCTTGCTCTTTATTCTTTATTCTTTATTCTTTATCCTTATTCTTAGTGTTGGTTTTAAATGAATGTTGTTGAACAGTAGCTGAGGTCTTGGAGGGAAGTGCAATATCTGGCCAGGTTGTCAGTGCAACGCAAGGTTAGGTCCAGTGACGCCACTAACACGCTACTTAGTAACAAGTTACTGTAGTCCGACTACTTTTGTCAGTAATGAGTAGACTAAAGCGGTGCTATTTCCAAACCAGTTGTCAGATTTAAGTTACTTATCTAATACACTGTGCGTTACTATTTTTGCATTTCAGGGCGTCGTAGGTTATTTATTTTTATTTTTTTGGCGACGTGGGTTATGTGATCCCAACGATCATATAAATTGTCTTTGGTGACACGTTTTCTATGATGTTACGTCATCTCCGCTCCGCCACATGTCAGATGTAAACAATGGAGGGAGAGAGGGACGCCTTTTGCAGCTGGAAATACAAACATTCTTTTGATTTTATTTCATCCTTTATTTCAGGATGGCAACATAAAGGTTCGTTGTTCACTCTGTGCTGGCGACAAAGTGTTGTCTACCTTCAAAAAGGGGGTGGGAGATCAGCCGCTGCTGAAAGTAACTAATAAACTAACTTGTAATCTAACTTAGTTACTTTTAAAAGCAAGTAGTCAAATACTTTGGCACAAGCATTTTAAGTACCCATTCACAGCAGTATCCATGTTTGCATAGCACTAGCACATTAACTTATTGTAAATGTACTGTTTAACTAGTTTTTTTTTTTTTTTTATTAATGCTTGGTTTGCGATTACTAATTAAATTTTTTGTGTTTTAGTTAGTGGTGGGTTGAATCCTGCATTTTTGACGGTTGAGTGGGTTGTAGTTGTGTACCACAAAGGGAACAAGAAATATCGTATTTTCCGGGCTATTAGTCACGCTCTTAAGCCTCCAACCCCATCAAAAAACGACTGCGCGCCCCACAATCCAGAGCGCCCTATACACGAATCTACTCGGGTGTCCCAGGACGGCTTCAGTAAACTACAAAGCCGCACCACCCGAAACGCACGCAAACACACACGGAGCAGACAGCGATCGCGCAGCGAAAAACACCCAGACACACTCATCACTCCACACGGATGAGGAACGGAACGGAGGAACAAACTGAAAAAGCGAGTGCAATGTGCCACTTCTAGCCACAACTGAACAACTGAGTCACTGTGAACACGCCGACAATCCAGCGGTCCCATACAGCACCCTCCCTACACGCCACAACTGAACAAAGCCCAGAGTCACCGTCCACTGACCCATCCAACAGTTGTGATTCGTTTAAAGTCCGGTGTGGTTTATTTGTGAAAAAAATTTGAAAATAGACCATTCAATGACAGTGCGCCTTATAATCCAGAGCTCCTAATAGCACGGAAAATACAGTAGTTTTTGAATGTCTAGAAGATTAAAAAAAGATTTGTAACTTTTATACCACATTGCCCTTGTCCTTTTTTTTGTGCCAGAACAGATTCTTTAATAAGGGGATCGCTCAGTCGGCAACAGTCATACCAGGGAACATTCTGCAGAAAGCAATAACATCTCCATGGAGGCAAGAAGGTAGTGTATCCTCCACCAGAAAAGTTGCGAAGTTCACCTTAAAGGAATTGTTTAAAAGAGCCGATTCATTCACAAATGTCATATCGCTAACACAGTACATAGATCATCATTTACACTTTGTTCATTGCACTAAACAGAATCCACTGTGTGATGCCAGGGGAGAAGAGTGTGACCTCGGGCAGCGTGCCTTTTTTTTGTCGTACTAGAATAAAGTGTAATTGCGCATCCATTACACATAGTTGCCAGTATAGTGTCGAGTTTTTTGCATCGAGCGTATGCACACACAGCACAGAGCAGGAGATATGAAGTGCAGTGAACAAACCCTCAAGAAATACCATGGAAAAATATTTAACAGGGATGAAAAGATACTTGAATTCTTCTACTTGAGGTCGCTGTATCGGACTGTTGCGGTGAAGAGGGAGCTGAGCCGAGGCAAAACTCTCAATTTACGTTCCTCCCCTCACCTATGCCCATGAGCTTTGGGTAATGACCGAAAGGACAAGATCGCAGATACATGCGGCCGAAATGACTTTCCTCCGCAGAGTAGTGGAGAGCTACCTTTGTATTCTAAACAGTCAGCATCTGTATCGGCCATAGAAAAAACATATCGGTCGATCTCTAATTTGACTTAACTTATCTCATTGAAACTCTTGAGTAGTCTTCAAGTAGTGATCCCAGCAGACAGCGTGCTCCCCTGAATAAACGTAGTGTACTTAGTATACTCTCTACATCATCACGTATACTTAAAGTCTACTACATTTTCTCAGAGGGCCGCGAGACAAAGAGATGTGCAGACAAAACTAAACAAAAAAATTAGCACTGTTTTTTTCAATTTGTTCAGAAAGAAACCCATTCATCAAACCCAATACCTCTTTGTATTACCATGTTCTCCATCGGGTTTCAAGCCAGAACCAAACAAGATCGTCCAATCAGATTTGTTTATTTCAGATTTATTTCAGACGCATGTGAAACAAAGGAGCCCACTGGTCACTAAGGGTGGGTCTAAACACAATTTCTAGAAGATGAGACAAAACATGAGATTGGGTCCACGAGAACGAGACAAGATGAGACTTTAATTTCCAATTTTGGCCTCACATTTTTTTAAATTTATTTTACTCTTGTGAGATTTAGTCATGTTATAATGTTGTTACTTCTTCAAAAACAGACCTGGAGTTGTGTTTTGTTTCATTCACACACGTTTGAGCAACTCTTTATTATAAATCTGTCTACCTCTCCAAAGCTCAAAATACTCTGTTCCATCTTGTGATGTCATGAAGCAATAGATTTTTAAAGGGCCCATCTCATGTAAAATAATTCTTTTCATATTGTATCTTCTGCACATAAACAAGCACAATTTGGGTTTTGGAACATCCATTACACAATAGTTATGAAATCTTACTGATCTCTTGGAGACAGTCACAGACCAGGAACTATGAAAAACTGGCTATTGCTCATCCCCCCGATCGTCCTGAG